AAAATCAGATGCAGGATCTCATCCCGCTCTAATACCATAAAAGGATATCATTGCTGCCATATCTTAAAGTGAAAGCAAGAAAATGATTCAAAGCAGAAAACAATGAGCTCAATATTCAATATGCATTAAAGAGAAAGCTATTGCCTACTGTAGCCGGATACAAGCATTAAATAGGCTACCTTCTAGGGTTACAAATAATCTAGACTCATCTAAATGATCCAACGGTCATAAGAGGATCAATGGTTAGCATGAATACAGCTCATGCAACGTACAAAAGGAGCAAGACAAAATCTGTTGGGGAAAGAGATAAAAATAGAGCAGAGGGCAGCAGGTGTGAGTTATCCATCTGGCAGTTTGGGATTAGTGACTGTTAAGGTTTTAGGATTAGTTTTGCTAATACTATGGCCTTTGATATATTCATGATTTACTTTTAAGAAACTGAAGTATTTTAATGGACGACGAGACGTTGAAGAAATATTATAGCAGGCAGTATGAGGGAGTCCCATACTTGACCCAATATAGGGAACATATTTGGGCCCAAGATTTATAATCAGAGGCCCATTAAGCATTACTAGTTAGTGGAAAAATAAAACATGGCCCATGGTTTGGAAAGTGAGGGCAAACACGCCACTTTGAGGGGCTATATTATATTTTTTTGCTACTTAGACTAGCCTATTTTTTTATATTTTAAAATAACTATTGCATTTAATTTAGAGAGCGTGTTCTAGATTGTCTAATAAGTCAAGTTTAATCGTAGAGCGTCTTTCGGTTAAATAAAAATTAAGCAAAAATTTGGGTATTAGAGCATGTTGCTATCTAGGGCTTGTAATTTCGGAAGATAATGAAATTTGATGTCACAATTAGTTAGAGTAGTCGAGGGTGTAGAAGAAATCGTGAACTTAAAATTTCTCTTAATTTATTTTATTCTATTTTATATTAATAGTTATTGTTTAGAACTTATTTGTTTCATTAGGTTTTTTTAGTTAGTTAGGTATTAAAACTAACTAACTATCAACCAATTCGTACCTGAATGTAGAGGACATTGTCAGAAGGATGTGAGTTAATGAGGTAATCAGTGATCCACCTGAGAGAGTCTTGAGCTGGCTCCAACTGGTCCACCGCCTTCATCTGATCACCGTACTCGAGTATGGCCCACGACAAAATCGTGGCCGTGAAAGCCATTGGAAAATTGAACTTCATGTGGTCCCCAGCATCGTACATTCCCTTCGAAAGATCGATTTTTGACTCACTCCCATCTTTCAAGCCCGAATCTCCTCTCCAGGGTATCGGGTTTTTCACCAGCTTCCCGGCTGAAACAATATTAGTTCCGACAAAAGACTTATATCCCGACGATTGAGAAATTCGAGGTCATTAACTATGAGAATTCAATTGATGAAAAGTTTGCTTACACAAAACCAAAAGACAAAATCTCTTCATGTAAAATAACAAAAAAAATTAGGTATTTAGTCCAAAATTAGATATTTAGTCATATAACTAACACCAAATTTAGAACACAACCTGATATTTGGCCTTTGATATTTGGCCTTTCAGGTCCTTCCACCGGCAAAAAGCTGGTCAATTTGACCGGCTTTTGAGTTAAATATATTAGTCGGCTGCTACGTGTACGAAAAAAATAATGAAAAATAATATCCACGTCAACAACCAGTTACAGGGCAGACTTTTGCAGTGGAAGTATCAAAAAGTAAGGTTTATTTGCAGTTGCAGGATGTTTTGTAAAGTCAAACGATCACCGGACTATTTCTCAATTATGCGTTAATTACATGACTAAATATCAAATTTTTAAAAGAACTAATGGAAACAATATTTTGAGCACCATCAATATTCAATACAACATTTCTACATATATATGTGTGTGTGACACAAATGTACAACTTTAATTCCAAAATGAGAGACAGGGGAATCAAAGTTGAAATATATTTACATTTCTGCACGTCGAAAAACTGCACGGCGATCTTAAGAGCGTCGGCATATTTCTTTGTGATGGCGCCGGGAGGGCCGGGAACAGGGGAGGCTTCCGGATCGGATTTCATCGTGTTATGTTTCACGATTACGAAAATTCCGAATGCAATGGCCGCCAAAACTAACGACACCAAGAACCAACCGCAGCAACCTCCCGACCGCTTTTTCTTTCCCATTCTTCACACCCGAAAAATAATTTGGACAATAATCTAGATGGAGGCGAAAAAGAAAAAATGAAATAAAATAAAAGAATAGAGATTTTTTTGAAGAAAAACAAAGAATAAGTACTAATTTTTTTTTTTTTTTGA